TACCAGATCAATCCTCTACCAGATCAAAAATAAGAACCAATATATTCTGCCCTCCCTGGTGATGTTACCACATCTATGCCACACCTGCATCTTTCAGATGCTGAAAAAATATTTAAATAGGAAAATGCAGTGTCCTGGTGCAAAAAGATTGTCTATGTCTAGGTGCAGCCATGAAAAGAATGTGGCAGATTGACACTGCGGGGACTCAGGTTTAAGTCCACTTTCAACCATGAACTCTTACTGGGCAACTTTTAGTCACACTCTTAACCCAGGGAAAAATACTTTATTGTGGAAAAATATTGGATGAGGGAATGCTATGTATATTTGGGCTCCTGAAGAAAAGGCAGGATATAAAGCTAACACAATAAATAGATAAACAAGCCTTCCAATTTTTCAAGTAAGTTTATTTATTTATTTATTTATATATCACATTTATATAGCTGCCCATCTCACACAAAGCGACTCTGGGCAGCATACAACAATTGAATAAAATAACAGATAAAAACAATAATTATAAAAGGTATTATTAAAATGCAACATTATCAAAAAGTTTAAAAATTTTAAAATATACAAACCCTGTAGAGCAGAATAGAAGTTATTATTGTTTTACTCCAGTTAAAACCATAATGATGTATTTAGACATCTGATAATATAAAAAAGCTTCAGAGGTTTTTGAGATTAGTTCTGTTTATCTCTTAAGCAATGAGGACTAAAATACTAGTAAACAACAAAAACAAACTACAGCATAATTGTCAAGATTCTAACGAGAGCATGTGAACAAAAAGTGTTGTTGAGAATATGTTCTGCATCTTGGAAAAAAAAAATGGAATTTGATTTTCATTTGCTGCAGGAGGAAAAGAAACACAGCATGAAGTCTGGAAGTATAATTCATCCATCAACAAATGGATCCAAATTGAATATTTGAACGTTGGAAGGTGGAGGCACAAAATGGCTGTTTTGGCTGGCAAAGTGTATGTGCTTGGAGGTTTCGATGGTGTACAAAGACTTAACAGTGTGGAGATTTATGATTCCTTTCACAACTGTTGGTCTGAGGTAAAGTACAGATGTACTTTCAGTATTAGTGAAACAGAAAACAGGACCAAAATAACACAATGTTGCTATCTAATGTAAGTGAATAGACAAATAGTGTTTTCACACACAATATCAGAAATGCTTTTTTAAAAAAAAATCTGCATCTATAGTGCAGTGTAGAACTAGCCAGCTGATGCACTGAGCATTAACATAGCATTTATTCTATCCTGCATTATCAGCTATGCGGTATGAATATACATTATGCAAGAGAGACATGCAAAACTTAGCACATCTATTTTTCAAAGTGCATGTAGCAGCTCTGGCAGGTGAAGATCTTCTGGCTGTTGCTCAAAGCAGATCAGAAATCCCAGGCTGATTTCAGATGCAGTGTATATAGATGGTGCGCAGGTCTGAGGAAAGCACTGCTCATAGACAGTTCCTTTGTAATATTGTAGTATTGCTCTCAATTCCTGTTTCCCACCCTTTTACATTAGTATGAATTCACAGAACTGAGAATGCAAAAACAACAGTGCGTGTATGCTAATATTTTACTTCACTTGCCAATTTCCATGGGTCTAAATTAAAACAGAAAGATGTACATCTAGATACATGTTTCCTACAAAACTAGTTTTCCATTTATCAGCAAAAACTTTCTGTTCTCTCTTTTTAAAATATTATTTCCATTCTATGTAAGAAATGCCTTCTAGAATTCTATGTTAGATTCCTCCTGCCCACATGCAGACTTCATTACTTATGCTTTGCAATATAATTCATTCCTGTGGAATTAGTTCAACTCTGTTGAATTAATAACAATTCTTGTTATGCTGTTACAATAATATTGTTCTGTTGTTTCTCTTTTAGCTGAATTAAGCATCATAGCATTCATGAGATTAGCAATCTATGACAGTGTTTTTTGTAAAAATATAAATAATAGCTGCGAGAAAGGTGATCAGAACCACGGTTCTGGTGCTAGAAGAAGAGGCTTTAATCCTTTGCTTTCTGCTGTAGATCCAGTTCTGGTCAGAATACCACCCTTTGTTTTTTTTCCTACTGGAAAGAAAGCTGCTTCATTTGGTACACATGAAAGATTTCCTTCTTGTGTACAGTATGGCTTTGTAATGCTTTGGATACAGTATTAAAAAGGTTCTTCAGAGTATGTGGGAGCATGAAAGTAGCATCCATCTGTACCTTTTTAGAGCACCCATCTCTTTTCCCAGGATCGAGTAGGTGGTCTTTTCAAATTTCAAATGAACCTGGAAAAAGGTGTGTCTGTTTTAAAGAATTGCAGCTAAGTGCTATGTTTATAGTTCCACATGCTCTGAAGCAGTTTTCTGGAACTGAATCCGAAGTATTGCCCAGCCCTAGTAGTAGTGAGGCCCCTAATTCAGATAAGATCCACACTGATCATTGGATCCTTTCAACCATCCACTATTTTCAGCTGCCTCATTGGCTTATTAATAGCAGAAAATGAGGTAACCTAATGTACACTGTCCTATGCTCCTTAAAGAAAGGCCTGGATATAAAAGTGAAATGATAAATGTACTGGATAAAATAGAATCCACTCTTTATTCTCTGAGCTGAGCAGTCTTTTTTACTTTTTATTCAAGAGTAACAACTCATCCTTCATTTTATGATTCAGTCATTTGTTTACATCCCACCTTTCTTTTGGGAGCTCAAGATGATATACAGTACATGGTAATGTACCTTATTTTATTCCTGTGAAAGAGTTGGGTTCAGAGATAGTGATTAGCCCAAAGCCACCCAGTTGCTCCATTGGCAAGTAGAGACTTGAATATCACTTTATTCCACCGGTTTGTATCTGACCCTCTTCTTTCCTTCTTTCTTTCAAATACAACTGTGTTGTCAAGTTTTGACTCCTTACCTGATGAACGCTACAACTATTTCAGTATTGTTTTCTTCTGACCCACAAAGGCTTTATACCGACTTTTCATTCCCTTTCTCTATTATTGTAATATTCTTCTCCTAATCAACCAGTATGTTCTTACTTCAGACTGCTACTCACTTATACATTCCATCTTCCTAATATAATATATATGACATGTAAAATCAAGATTAATTTTCAGCACATTCCTAATCTATTTTATTTGTTTGACTTCAATAAAGGCAGTTCCTCTCATGATCAGTGTGAGCTCATTTGGAGCAGCTAGTTACAAAAAGAAACTCTATGTGATTGGAGGAGGACCCAATGGGAAGTTGGCTACTGACAAAATACAGTGCTATGATCCAACAACAAACAACTGGTGCTTAAAAACACCTATGCCTGTTGAAGCAAAGTGTGTCAATGCTACAACTTTTCATGACCACATCTATGTTGTGGGTAAGCTGAACAGCTGTTTTAATGTGCTTAGGAATTTTGCATATTTTCATTAATTCGGTACACTTTTTATAATTATACTTTTTTTTCTTTACTGCACAAATGCCACATAAGGATATGTGAATATCACTTGTGATATTCTTTTTAATTAGATCATGTAGATATTTCCAGAGATATGAAGGGAGTGAATTGTAATGATAGCTGGCATACAGTAGTAAAATTACTACTGGTGATACACTACTAATTAAGGATATTGGTTATTAGTAGGTTCTCCTACAAGAGAATAAATATGGTGGTATTACTAAAATCATTTAGAAATAATATAATAGTTAGCATGATGCTTGCTTATATATGTGTTATGTCCAGAATGGGCATGTATATGTGAATGTCAAGGCTTTTAGATGAACTTTTGAATGTAAGGAAATAGAGTTATATTTTGCTTTTTTTCAGTGAGTGTGTCATGTGCCTCCCCCCCCCCCCCCTCTATCTATATGCAAAGCCACCTTGCCAATAAATTATCAAAACATATAACAAACCAACAA